TATATAAAGTAAAGGTCTGTTTCACGCCTTGTGTTTCTTGTTGTCCTTGCGCATAAAATAAACGAAGTACTTGTCGTTGGCCATGTTTTTCGAATAACGTACAACCGAGTAACATTGAAACGGTTTAACTCTAACTAAACCCTGCTTTCTGGGGTGAGGTTGGGTACTAGACTATCGCCAGTGTGTCCCGGGGTACTTTGTTGTTTTTTGTCTTCACCTTTAAAACCATCCCGGTCTCCGCGCAGTACCGTCTAATATCCGGACTAGTACAACGACGCGGACACCTTCCGTGGTCACAAGCCAACTATACCCCCAAAGGGTACAGTACACCTTTCTAGAACGAAACGAAAGTATAAAATGGGCTGGGAAAAAAATCTCCAATTGCGGAAACAGCGTAGCACAAAAATAACATGTGTCCAACAATACGCCATTTCGAAACATCCTACCACCTGTGCCTGCAACAGGTGCGTGCGTCAATATCCCAAACACGCACCCCCTTGTTTTTTCTCACAGAGCGGTTGCACCTTTCAGCTCGCACCTTTTTTTTCATCCAATCTTTTGTGTCAAGCTATGCCACGTGCCAAAAGCTCGCGTTTTCCACATAAGCGACCGCTGCCCTCGAAATGCCCCTATGTGATCTATGTGGTCACGAGACCGTGTACATGCACGTGGAGCAGGGTCTTTGTGAGAATTTTGGTACACATTAAAGACGTAGAACGTTTCCAGGTTATGATGATCCTCTGTGTTGTAATCACTACTCCAATCGATTGAACTGTTTGCCCCACTCGCGCTTGGAGGCCCGGAGTGCGCATGTGTTGTGCCCAAGCCAGAGAGAAAACATAAAATAGAACATCACCAACGCGCTACTTCTAACACATCTCACAGCATGCACGAAGAAAACATTGCCATCAATCAAGCAGGCCGTAGGATAGGATGTAGACATAACCTCTTATCACCTCCAACTCCACTGCTCGCACCGGTATTTATTGCGGGAACATTGGTCTTGCGCACGGCCACACCCTGTGTCGCTTTTTTAATCTGAAATGTAGTGTTGTTAGAAATCCAAAGAAATCAAGTCGGAATCAAAGTCTGCATGCGTGACACTCATGTTCTACTGTAGAATTCTCAATGGGAGGCATGGAATTGTGTCACCTCTTCGGAAAAGTTGGCAATTTTTCCTTGTGTTGTCTCGCATATTCTCCCGTTGGACACTTCTAGGCAAATACGCAAACGACGTCCACGACCTCGGGGTTGTCTACACAACATGTGTGTGACCTTTATCTCGAAAGGCTTCCAAATGCAATGAATGGGCACGGGGGGAGAACAAGTTGAAGACCACAACCGAGATGGCAGTCCGTGTTAGGTCTATTGCTGGCGTATCCCTCTCAGATTCGTTTGTGAAGTGTCTGTTAGAATACGTCGGGCGAAAACACGACAGTAGATCAACTTCCCACGCTCTACCTTCACCCATGCTTTCGTGTCCCCCGTGTCCCCCATGGTCAATGCAGCACATGCCTATCCTCGTCATCACGCACATCATTTGTCGTGTAGGACCGATCGTCCACGGCCTCTGCCAGACGGCGGCGCCGAACAAAGGAGTTCTTCCCCGGGTTGGCGAGCCTGACGAGCATGGCATGCGGACGGTGGACATCCCAGCACTAGCGCCTATGGGAAATTACTTTCTTGGCGCCGATAAGGTTTCGAAGCCTGTACCGCAGGAGAAGTGCACTCGAAGCAATGTGTACAATCTCCTGCGCGATGCGAAACCTTCTCCTGCGGTTCAACGGTTGGACTTCGGTCAGCTTCTCAGCGTTTCATCATGGCAGGAAGTAGAAGAAGGGGACACCGCCGTGGCCTTCGTGCTGCTTGCTCGGGCCCGTTTGCGGAACCTGCGCCGACAAAGCCACCACTCCATGGACCTCTTTGAGGTAGTGGCTGTTCTGAACGTGCGCCTCACCAAGCTCGTGGCTGTCATCAGAGAAGGACAAGACAAGGAGCTCCCGCCAACAGCACTTGTCGAGGAAGAGCAGGTAGTCGTGGGCTCGGTGCTGCAGACCTTATCGGCGCGGAGCGTGTTCTCATCACGCGTTCTCGCGGTGGCGACTGGGTCAACCACCGGCAAGGCTCCGGAATTTCCTGCCTTCTCTCGTCATCTTTGCGAACCTGAGGTTGGGCAGAATGACCTTCGACCTGCGGCGCTCGACGACCTGGTTTTGACCTACGCCCGGGTAAGTACGTCTCCTTTGCGTAGCTTACGTAGTGGGCTGTTGTGCTTTGTTTTTTCCAGCCTTCTCAGTGTTCGTGCTTGTCCGTTGCTCCGTTGCTCAACTGCATTTGTTTCGCGTGCTTATGTCGCTTTGTATACGGCGTTCCTCATTGGTCATCGTTCTCCCTCCTTTGTTTTGTTCTTCCACCTTACGTTTATTCCGTCTTCCTTCTCTGCGTAGCCGGTTGATTTGATTTATGCTAACGGCGAAGCCTACCTTGTTTCGTGTTATGTTATTGTTCAATCCGAAGTGCAAATGGGTAGATCACTGCTGACATATTGGCATATTACTCACGTGTTGCTGTGATTTGAAGGGGAACAAGAACACCTTTCTCACATGCTGGTAACGACATCCGCATGCTCTGTGTCCACCGCTAAAACTACCACACCTCTTCCATACAACGCATGCACTTCGTTGCATATTAAATGGCAGCAGTGCTCGAATTTTTTGAGTTGATGGCAGTCAACAAGACTACCCAACATTGTTGTATTATATCTGACAATAAGTTTCCGTCTAAATGCATTGAAGCATGCTCATTGCGGTAACCTAAATAACTCGAGTACTTCGACCACACGGTTTGTTTTCCGTCCCCTTAATCGGGACCCCTGACATCTTAATCAGGCCAAGGAGGAGTTCATCGCGAGTGGACTTCAACCCGCCAATGAGCGCGCAAGGAAGCGGGCAGGTACGAGCAAGTGGGCACTTGCTTGCGGTAGGTGTTACGGCTAGTCATGTTGTTGGTCCAATCACCTAAGGACCTAACTTCTACTGTGTACGTTTTGCCATATTCTGTCAAGGTTGGTACCGGCGTTGTACATGTACATGTCGTTCGTTACCTCCAGCCCCCCAAAAGTGATTAGTCCTTTGTCAAAACGTTCTCATGAGCCAACACATGGCATGCCGTCTTTTTGTATGTGATCTCTGTTCGTCCTGACAGAACTGGCTGTGCGCTCAGGAGCATGCTTCGGGTCGGCGGTGCAGCGTACGAAAGCCCTTCAGATTCAGGTGGCTCACCATCAACCGGGGAAAAGCGCTGACATCAATGGCATCGTGGAAGAGTATGGCCTTTCGTTCGACATCCAATCGCTGGAGGAGGACCCCACGGCGACGGTGCGCAGAACACACGCCTTGGGAAGCAACGCCGGGCCTTACTATGGGCCAGACACCCTGCACGACTGCAACCACGGGGATGACTGCCGCCAAAAGTACGGTGGGATAGACACATGCGCCCAGCTGTCGGGGGTCAACCTCAACGCGCACGAGCAGAACCATGCGAAGAAGAAAAAGTTTCTGCACATGTTGAATGTCATGAAATTTGACCGCTTTGCGTTCATGGTAACTCTGATCAACGAGACCGAGAATGAGGCAATAAACCGCCGGTCGGTAGCAAACATGGTCAAGCGTGTTCGAGGCCATGGCTTGGAAAAAGTACAGATTTGCCAGGCTGAGGTTTGGTTCTGCGGCAGATGCTTCTGCGAGAACTCTCTAATGCGATCATTCGACCAGTTCGGCCGGGTCCGGCTGACCTCTATTCAATCATAGCCATATTTTTTGGGGGGCTCGGATGTTGTTGTACTTTGTTTCAGATGCTGTGGTACGGTGTTCGCTTGGCTGACCCGCTTGCGCCATTCCGTCGTTTCGCCCTGTTCACAGTGGTGAGTAGAGTTCGTGTTTTTTTCCCCCCCTCCTTTTTCGGTTGATGGGGTGTCGTTGGCTGTGTAGGAGTATGTAGTTGCACGGTTGGGGGCAGTGGGGGGTTAGATGCACTGGTTTTCCTTTGGGGGGATCCACAGATTGATTTCGCTAACCATAGGGATGCTTTAAGAACTATTTTTTTCAGCCTTTCACAGCACTACCCGAGGCGTACGCCAGCGAACACCCGCACGCCAACGATCCCATCATCACGCCAGTTGCTTGTGACTCTGAGGGAGCAACAGCGGGCGTCGTATGCTGTGCATCTACTTCGGCAGACACTGACGAAGCCGATACGACCATCTGGGAAGGTTCTTGGGCGCACGCGCCCATTCCACCCTCGGCAAGCCCAGGCGTTGGCCGTGCGAGCACGAGCAGTGCGGAGTGTGGCAAGGGAGTGCCGATGCCGAAGTTTACGGCGTATCCCGGGCCGGGGAGATGGAGTCCAGCGCAGCCCTCACGCGCGGCGCAGCTCGCAGAAAAGGCCTCGGCGAAGGCGGCAAAGTCCAACGTCATGGTGCCGGTGAACGTTCCCGCGTCCGTACCACCTATCGTGCCATTCTTGGGTGCAGGAGGGTCAGCAAAGAACAGCAGCGCCACGTCCGGACACAGCGGAATGTCGTCGATTTCGAGAGGCATGGGGATCGGTACAAGTACCAGCCGTACCGGGAAGAACGAAACCGAGCAGGTCGACAGCACCCAGACGGGTCAGGCGCTGCGGTCTCCGCCGTTGCCATGGAGAGCTCCCAGGGTGGTAGATTCCGGAGCTTGTATGATGGCAGGCTCGTCCGGAGCAGCAGACCGCGGAGAAGACATATTGGCTCTCGACCCCGATCTACATTTGATGACGGGTGCGGGGTCTGTGGAATCCGTGGGGGCAGAGACCCCGACGACGAGCGTAGGGCCTACACCGCCTGCCATCTCGGGTAAGACAACCGGAGCATCATCAGCGAGTAGCTCCCAAGAGCGGCGTATGTCAGTGCCCGACGAGGGTGTCGCGATGCCGCTGGCTCCGGGGGAGGACGCAGCAGCGGTAGAGGTACCGGTGCCGCCGGCAACAGATAAGCACCAGTCGGCTTCCCACAACGAGAAAGCCGCTTCTGGAGGAGCGTCGGGAGGCATCGAGCTGTGCGTCAGCGTGGCTACCGCGACCGCAGCGGCAGACTCTGCTGCGCAATCGCAGCCGGCAGGAAACACGCCTCCGGCGGACATGCCAAGGCAAGGAGGGGCGTCTGCAGCGTCAGCACCATCAGAATCGAGCTCTCTTGCGCGTGGATCCCGCGGCGGCGGGTCTGGAGGAACGGGACTTCGTGGTGTGGGGGTGATCAACTCAGGGGTGGCGGCGATGGGAGCGACGGTGGCGTGGCTTGGGAGGAGTGGGGTAAGGATGATGTGGTCGCGCCCTGAGAGAGGAGCGGCGGCGGCGGCTGGATCATCGGCGACGGGATCATCGGCAGCAACTGAATCGCCACAGGGAACACGAGCATCTGGGACAAAGAGGAAAGCTACACAGGGATCGTGGGATGGAAAGGGGGAAGGTTTCGCGATTCACACCGGAACGAAGCCTGAGTCATCGGCTACGACCGGAGCATCGCCGGGTTCACCGGCAGCGGGGATGAGGAGGAAGGTGACGCCGACATCAGGGGACGGAGAGGAACGTTTCGTACCCCACACCCGGACGAAGTTTGGGTCATCAGCTACGATAGGAGCATCGCCGGCGACATCGGCATCGGGGACAAAGAGGAAGGCGGCACCGGGATCAGGAGATGTAAATCAAGGCTACGTGCCCCACACCCGGACGACGCTTGGATCATCGGCTACGACTGGAGCACCGGCGGGGACATCGGCATCGGGGTCCAAGCGGAAAGTGCAACCGGCATTCGGGGACGGCGAGGCAAGGCTTGTGCCACGAACACACGGTAAGCCTTGATCGCTGGCTGCGACCGGAGCACCGCCGGCGATATCGGCATCGGGAGTGAAGAGGAAAATGACGCCGACATTCGGGGATGGAGTGGAACGGTTCGCGCCCCGGACGAAGGTGTCCGTGAAGAAGCAGGTGCCAGCCAAGCTCGAATCCGTCAGGCTCACGCGCTCATCGGCACGGGCGGTGTGGGTAGACAGCAGCAGCAGCAACACGATCAAGCGCGGGAGAGACACGGACGTGAGTCACTTTCCTTTTCCCACATTGGTTGCCAGGATGTTTGGTCTGTTGTTCTCTTGGCTTAATTTGTAAATCAAACACAACGGCGTTCACCCAGAACTGTTCTAGGTCAATCAGACCGGAGCGACTGGGTACAGGAGCGCGCCGAAGCACAGCTTGTCCGTGCTTGCAGCGCACACAGTACTGTACGCCACGCACACGTGTTCCGTACACACCGACCGATCTTCTTTTGAATTTCTACGCTTGCAGGACCAGGCAACGGCAGAGGGGAGGAACACGGGCTGCAAGAGGACTAAGCACAACAAGTCGATGGGGAACAAGAGTGTGACGGACAGCCCATCCGCAACCACATGCAGGCCTGGCAGGAGCCGCAAGAGGATGAACGGCGACGACGACGACAACGACGACGGCGGCGGGAGCGCGGGAGGCGGCTCCTCAGGGGCGTGGTCTGCATCCGAGTCTCGGGCCAGCAAGCGCATTCGCCTCACACCCTCCGGTAAAGCCCCGGTATACTCACGCGGGTAGAAGTGAGGTATGGAGGTGACCGTTCGCTCCAGGCCTCCTCCCAGAACGCAGACCAACAACATGCTACGTCTCCACGCCCCCGCCCTCTTCCAAATCACCCCCTACTCTCGTTGTGCAGCGTGAACCTGAGGGCCGGAGGGCATCCCCTACGCGCGCTGCGACCCACAATGGCAGGGTAAATGATGCGTCCTTGTCCGAGAGGACGGCTTTTCTTCGAGCTAGCACATTAATTACATGAAGGTTTCCGTCAAAGCGGTGTGACCACGTGCGCGATGGGACGAGCGGCGTTGCACTTGTAGTTGCTGCTGCTGCTGCTGCTGCTGCTGCTGCGCGAAGGGGCACAGGTGGATGCGCATTTGGGCGCCTTCGGTTTGCTTCAAGGGGGAAATGACATATCTTGCCCCCCCCCCACCCCCCACATGACCTGCTTGTTGGCCCGCAGTCGTTTTTCCCGCATATAAAAACATGTAGTCTAGATACAGGCTTGTTGTTTCTTAGCAAGCTTGCTCAGGGCCTTCCGCAAACGAGGGGTGGACGTGATACGGATAACATTATCTTGCTAAACCAACTTCCGGATATGTTGGTGACTCTCCATGAATGCCCAAGTGTGTCAGCATGTCTGTTTTATCCGGGCGTCTGGACAGCCACACGCTGTGAAGAAATGGGCGATTGTTGTGTCCTCTTGTAGTCTATATTATTTTGTCTCTGTTGAACTATTGTTTCTGTGTACAATGCAGGTCGCTGTGTCGGGGGGAAAGTGTGTGACATTGATTGCACGAACTGGGAGGAGAGCGAGAGAGCGAGAGAGAGAGAGGGAGAGAGAGAGAGAGAGA